GCCCTGGGTCTAGGACTCGAACCGCATTTGACTACATGGGAGTTCAGTAACACAGCCATTATGCTAACTGCTGGTCCCTAGGAAACTGACGTTTTTTAATTCTTGACTTTGGGCTAATAAACAGACTTCTAATATATACTGCTTCTGTTGTTAATAGAGTTATAAAATTATACAAAATTATAAGGCATATCTTGAACATTATCTTTAAAATTCAGTATTTTGAAATTTTGAAAGTTGTTGGTAAACTGTCAAGAATTATGGAGTATGAGCTAAAATTTTTTGCTATGTAAAGTAAATGTTTGTGGAAAAATGTAAAAATAAATGAAAGAGAAAAAAAATAAATTCTTGAGAAAGGAGAGAGAATGGAGCAGAAAAAAAATTTGATAAAACAATAGCTGGTAATTTGCTACAGTTACTGACAGGCGTTAAAACAGAGATCCTGGGGTCAGCAGGTAGCATGCAGGTTAAGGTAACTGAATCCCCTGTGACCAAATATGCAATTAGGGTTCTGGACCCAGCAGCTTGAAAATCATACCAGGCACATGTGCATGCATACCCAAAATCCAGAGAGGAGAGTGGAGAAGGGATTGTGGTGCAGACATCCCCCTGGGAGATGATTTCTCACTCCTCCAACCCTATCTTCCATGAGTGCACACGCATAGCTGCAAAAAAAAAAAAGTAATGTATAAAAAGAATAATTAATAATCACCAAGCAAATTTATCCCAATACAAACTTTCTTAAACATTCAAATATTAATTTCTGTAATTCACCATACCCACAGAGTAAAGAATAAAAGGCATATAATTACCTTATTAGATGTAGAAAAAGCAATTGACAAAACTGAATCATACAGAACTCTTAGAAAACTAGAAATAGAAATTTCCAAATTTGATAAAGAGAATCCATAAAAATCTACCATTAATATTATACTTAGTGGCAAAAGATGCCTCCCCCAATATAGAGAACAAGGCAAGGATGTCTCTTCTCATTACTTCTCTAGAACTTTGTACTAGAATTGCTAGCCAGTGCAATAAGGTAAGACAAAAATAAAATGCTTTACAATTGTTTTGCAGTAAGTCTTGAAACTGGGTAATGTGAGTCTTTATTTTTTTCAAAATTATTTTGTCTATTCTCATATTTTTGTCTTTTCACTTACATCTCAAAATCTGTTTGCCAATATCTATCCTTCCTCCAAAAACAAACTGACAAAACAAAGATGCAAATGGTAAAGAAAAAAAATATTTTTTTTCCAGACAACTGACTGTATATAAGGAAAGTACCAAGTAATCTATAAAATCTACTAGAACTAATGAAAGAGTTTATCTAATCCCAAAATATAAATTTGATATATATAAATAAATTGTATTTCTGTATAATAAAAACAAATATCTAGAATTCACTTTTTAAAAGTATCATTTATAATAGCACTCCCAAGAAATACCAAAGTATAAACCTAACAAAATATAGTTGGAATTTCTATGCAAAATACTGAGAAATATTAATAAACTAAATAAAAAATGACCTATGTAAATGAAGAAACTTACCTGTTTGTGGGTTGAAATATTCAGTATTATTATGTACATATAAAAAATTATGATAGTATATAATATCATAATTATATTATAAGTACATTGTGTTATATTGCAAATATTATAATTTTATAGTACTTATACAATATTTTGATATTATAATATAATGCTGGACAATACTATAATGAAAATATCATGAAGACTTAGAATTGACCTATTGATTTGTTATAATACTCACAAAGTTCCAAGCAGGCTGGGTTGTTTGTTTGCTGGTCTATTTGTTTTTGGATGGAGGGTAGATATTAACAAGCTAATTTTAAGATATAAATGTAAAAACAAAAGAACTATTGAGTCATCTGAAAAGTCGCAATGTATTTTTGCATAGAAAAATACATTGTGACTTTTCTGACCGAATAGACTAGCCAAAAAAAAAAAAAAGTTAAAGACTCACATTAGCCAGTTTTAAGACTTATTGAAAGGCAACAGTAATATGAGAAGACATCCAAAATTGTAAAAAAAATAAATAAATAAATAAATAAAAAATTAAAGTTTATTTTGTTGCAAAAAAATTTTTAAATGTACACTTTTTTTCATAATATACGCTTTCCATGAACCTTTTGAAGCCCACTCCCATAAAGTCAGGGTGGCACGTACAAGTTGAACATTCAGTTGAACATTCCTAATTTGAAACTCTAAAGTCTGAGATGTTCCTGAATCTGAAGCTTTTGAGGGACAACATGACATTACAAGTGAAAAATTCCACACCTGACCACCTGTAATGGATCACAGTCACAACAGGTAAAATTACCTTTTGTCTTCAAGCTACATGTATAAGGGGTATATGAAACATAAGCCATATTTCTGCTTAGACTTGAGTCTTATCCCAAGATATCTTACTATGTTTATGCAAATATTAGAAAATCTGAAAAAAGTAGGAAAGCTAAAACACTTCTGGTCTCAACTATTTTGGACAAAAGATCCTCAGCCTGTACTGGTAAAAAGACAGACACAATGACCAAGAGTACAGAAGTTCAGAAATAAATACACATAGATACAGTCAACTAACTTTTCAGAAAGGTACACAGGCAATTCTGTGAGGTTGCAAAAATTAGACATACTTATAAAAAGGACATAAGCCTTGACCTATATCTGTATGCAAACATTTTGGCAGCTTTATTCAAGATCTACAAACACAACACGTGTTCTTCAATGGAACACTATTCAGCAATAATGTGGGACAAACTTGATTCACACAAAAATATGAATGCATTAAGAGCCATTCTTAAATGGATCTTCTTAAAATGCATTTAAGGGGACCAGTAGTTGACGTAATGGCTATGTCACTGGACTCCCACATAGTCGACCACAGTTCGTGTCCCGGACCCGGTGGCTTAAACTCACACCGGGTGCATGTGCATGCGTGCCCAAGATCCTGAGAGGAGAATGGAGGAGAAGGGATTGCGGAGTGGCCATCCCCCCTGGGGGAGTGATTTCTCGCTTTCTGTCTCTCTGTCTCTCTCTGTCTGTCTGGCGAGCGCACGCGCCCTATAGCAAAAACCTCTAAAAAAAATGCATTTAAGATCCATTCTAAGGCAAACTGTGAAAATTGAAAGTAAATCACTGGTTGGGACCAGCAGGTGGCATGGTGGTTAAGGTGTTGGGCACTCCCACATGGCTAACCACGGTTCGAGTCCCAGACCTGGCGGCTTCCTTTATCCCTTTCTCTCTCTCTCTCTCTCTCTCTCTCTCTCTCTGTGTGTGTGTGTGTGTGTGTGTGTGTGTGTGTGTGTGTGTGTGTCTGGTCAAATTAAAAAAATAAATAAATGAATAAATAAAATTAAATAAATAATTTAAAAAAAAAAGAAAGTAAATCACTGGTTGACAGGATGGGATCTAGGAAGGGCTTGATTGCAAACAGGCAGAAAGACATGGGATGATGGAGATGTTCTCAATTATGACTTCAGAAACCTAACTCTACAAACTTATCAAAAATCATAGAACTGTTCACTGCCAGAGTAATTTTTTTTTACCATAAGTATATTAGAAAACGATCAACCAAGAAATGGGTTGAATTCAAAATGGAATAACTATAAATAAATATCACTACTAATATGACATATTCATATCCTGTAATGCCTCTTAGAGCCATTGAGCAAGGCTCATTGTATCTGTGCTATTTTTACCCAAAACGCATAACCTCAATCTAATCATGGAAAAAATCAAGTAAACTCAAATTGAGGTTGTTTTTTTTTTTTTTTTGGTTTGGGTTCGTTTTCAGTTTTTGCTATGAGGCCCATGCACTCACCAGCAAGAGAGAGAGAGAGAAAGTGAGAAAAGCACCCCTCACACCTCCCAGAGGGAAGGCCACACTGCAATCCATTCTCCTTTCAGAATTTTGGGGGCATACATACACACATGCCCGAACACCAGGTCCAGAACATGAACCACTCAGTCATCTAAGTGGGCTCCAGCCTCCTTAACCACCATGCCATAGGTTGTCCCCCTATGTATGTTTTATGCAATATCTGTCCAGTACTGTTCAAAAGTATCAAAGCCATGAAACACACAGAAAGACTGAGAAGCTATTGCAGATGGTAGAAAACTAAGGAGACACAACTAATGGCAATGTGAGATCCTAGATTGAATTCTGGAACACACACACACAAAAACAATGATAGTAGCAAAACTGATAAATGTGGAAAAAATATATATATATAGTTAACAGCATTGTGCTAATGGTAACTTATTAGTTTTGCATGTTACCAAGCTCATAAGGTGTTAATATGAGATGAATTTGTATGGCACATATACCAGAACTCTCTGTATTATTTTTGCAAACTTTCTATATGATCACATTTTTTTGAAATAAAAAGAAAAGAAATACACTCATGGGGCTAGCAGGTGGCATGGTGATTAAGGCACTGGACTCCCATATGGCCAACCACAGTTAAGAATCCCAGACTTGGAGGCTTGATTTTTTTTCACTTTGCCTTTCAATCTCTCTCTCACTCTTTCTCTTTCTCTGATGAGAGCAAATGTCCTATAGCAAATTAAATAATAATAATAATAAACAAAATTAAGTAAATAATTCTTTAACAAAATACACTCAGACTCTTTACTTAGTTTTACTTTAATGTTTACTAGATTTTGGTACCAGGACAAGTCACATCCTGATATATATCATTGTTCTGAAGAAATCGTTGATTTGGTGATTTTCTGTATTGTTTCTAGAAACTAAGAGAAATATTGCCATTTCAAGCAAGTTGGTACAATGGCCAGATTCAGAGAATATGACATTGACTTTTCCCCAGAACCCACCAGCACCCCAAAAAAGCAGACAAAATCTTGGGAAATATTTCAAGAGTTTCCTGAAATCAGACTATTCTAATGGCATAAATGCGTCAGATACAGATTCCTTGTATCTCTTCTCAAAGCACTCCCTGCTTATCACTTTAGGTCTTAAGGGAAAGCTTCTGTTTGGAAACGGCACACTGTACCTTTACAGCACAGACTTCAATATCACTGGTGGGATTTTACAATCTTGGGAGATATTGGGCCATCAGAAAAGTCACAACACATTTTTGTGTCTTTTTATGTTTTTCTATGCAAACAATGCATCATGACTTCTCCGATGACCCAATACAAAGATGCCTCAATACACTGAATAAAGGTCTTTGTGAAAAAATATAACGAAACAGGACAGCCTATGGTGTAATGGTTATGTCACTTGACTCCCACGTTGATCACAGTTTGAGTCCTGGAACCGGCAGCTTATAACTTATGCTGGGTACGTATGTGTGCATGCCCAAAATCCCAAGAAGAGAATGGAGGAAAAGGGACTGCAGCATGGCCATCCCATCTGGGAAGCAATTTCTCACTTTCTGTCTCTCTGTCTGTCTGGTGAGTTCATGTGCCCTATAGCAAAAATATCTCTCTCTCTCTCTCTCTCTCTCTCTCTCTCTTTCTCTCTCTCTCTCTCGAAGAGGAAGAAGAAAATAATGGAATTATTAACATATATGATCAGAATCTATCTTGTATTTATAGGAATGTATGAGCACCATTGCAAATTTTTTGGCATCCTAGGTATCTTTAGTTCAATCTTCAGAATATAATATAATTCCTGGGCTTTGACTTTCTATAAACGTACAAGATCATCTAATAGCAATGACATGAGCTGTGACAGTTAATAATATTATGCTAATAAATTTATAGTGTACAATCTCTCTAGGTGGTCTTTATTCCTTGAGAATCTTTAGCTTCTTTTTAAAAATGTTTATAAGAATTACTGTTATAGCTACAAAACTTGCTCCAGAATTGGAATTTCTGAGCTGATCTACAGATACTCAGAGGGTAGATACTCTCCTGTATTGGCTGGCCTTGATGTACTCTATTATGTTATATATGACATAACTGATATTTCTAACAGCTTCTTCCATTAATCACTCCTGCAGGCACTGATGAGGGTCAGTAGTCAAATGTTTCTCTGGCCTTCAAAATGTGGAATTTATTTACATGTAGAGACTGCAGAAGAGTATTCATTTCAAGTTCACATTTATAATGATCAGGCAAATTAGTATTTTTTTAAATCTCCAAAATTAGGGACCAGCAGATGGTATAATGGTTACATTGCTGGACTCCCATGTAGAGTCAAATGCAGTTTAAGTCCTAGAACCAGTAACTTAAAACTCACACCGTGCATGTGTGCATGTGTGACCAAAATCCCAAGAGGAGAATGAAGGAGAAGGGACTGCAGTGTGGCCACTCCCCTGGGGGGTAATTTATCACTTTCTGTATCTTTATCCAGTGAGCACACACTCCCTATAGCAAAAATCGCTCCAAAAAAAAGAAAAAAAAGCGCAGTCGTAATCTCTTCCTTTTTTCAGAATTTTTTTTTTTTTTTTTTTTTTTTTTTTTTAATTTGCCAGAGAGAAGAGAGAGAGAAAGGGCAAAGAGAACGCACCCTGTTTAGGGTATGGTCACAAAGCAATCTCTTCTCTTCCATTTCTCCCTTTTGTTGGGATTTTGGGCAAATACACACATGGACCCAGTATGTTTCCTAAGCCACAGGGTCCAAGACTCAAATTGCATAGTCAGCCACGTGGAAACCAATCACCTTAACCAGGGAGCCAGTCACCTTAACGACCAGGCCACAGGTTGGCCCAGACAAATTCTTTTAAACACATGTCTCAAGAGTTTCTGGGACTAGCAGATGGCATAATGGCTATGTTGCTGAACTCCCACGTAGCTGACCACTGTTTGAGTCTTGAACCTGGTGACTTCAAACTCACACCGGTATGTGTGTGTGTGCATGTCCAAGATACTGAGAGGAGAAAACAGAAGGGAATGCAATGTGGCCCTCCTCCCTGAGAGGAGTTGATTTCTTGTTTTCTATCTCTCTGTCTGTCTGTCTCTATCTCTCTAGTGAGCGAACACACCCTATAGCAAAAATCTCTCATAAAAAAAAAAGTTTCTAAGTGGGGGTTTTACCCAGTTATTGGCTTAAAGTGTGCTAACAATGGGCTAGCAGGTGGCATGGTGGTTAAGGTACAGGACTCCCAAATGACCAACTGAGGTTCGAATCCCAGACCTAGTATCTTGCTTTTTCACTTTCTCTCTCTCTTTCTCTCTCTCTCTCTCTCTCTCTGCTGAGCACTCATGCTCCATAGCAAACTTTTAAAAAAGATAATAATAAATACAAATATTAAATAATTTTTAAAATACTAACATAGAATTTTATTTTATATTTTCTTTCTTTTTTTTTTTTTTCTTGAGTTTTTTTTTTTTTTTTTAATTTATTGATTTCTTCCACAAGTGAGAATGACAAAGCTAAAGAGAGCATCCCCAACAGGGTCTCAATGCCACAATCCACCCAAAGCTTCAGCCAGCCCCAGACCATGGACACATAAATGCTTAGGTATTAAGGCAGGTCTCTGGATAAGAACTCAGAACCTTGCCATATAGGTCAATTTTGCACAGTGTTGTATTTTACCACTGTCTATATCCATTAATCTTTCTTTTTCATCATTCTTTGACATCAGAAAACCTACTGAGATAGAATTTGAAGAACAAGTATTGAATAACTATACTTTATTCAATAGTTATTGAATAAACTATTCAATAATAGTTTATTATTGAATAATGATGAAAAACATACCGAGGCTAATCATACCTTAAATACTTCAAGTATACAACTGCAACAACTCAGAAGAACAAGACGTGAACAGCATCACTGTTTCCTTCATGTGTTCTACAGACAACAGAACACTGTAGAAAGAAAAGGTTGGTAGCTACTTTTTAGGGCAGACTACATCCATGCTTTCAGGCCTCCTTGATATTCTTTTAAAATTGAACCCCAGAACTTGCTCAACAAAAGTAAGATATGTTTGGAGTTTAGAGGTAGATTTGGATCAGCATTTGCTCATGTTCAGAAAATAAATTTTAGCCATGTAGGACCAAGTAGGACTTCACTATATTTGATTCTAATTGTATTCAGCTAAGATTCAATTCTGTTTCATTTTCCACAGTATTTACTTGTTACCTAAATTTGACTCAGTTCCTTGAGGTATTACAACCTTCAGTGATCTTTTATCTCAAAAAGGCTACCTTTGACCATCTTAGCTTCAGCAAACGTCTTGAACTCTTTTGCAAATAATCTGTCTTCAACAAGTGCATACAGACCCAGCTCCAGTGGCACAGTGGTGACACAATGAAATATTGGAAGCTATATGGAAGATCAGGGTTCAGTTCCTGAGTCCACCTGTACCTGCCAGGCACACACGCATACACCAGTAATCCTGACTAACTTGGGAAGGCTGAGAATGGATAACAGCACGAGATCCTGTTGGAGATAATTGCCTTTCTCTCTCAAGAAATGAATAAACTAGGGCCAGCAGTTAGTATGGTGGTTAGGAGCTAGACTCCAACATGGCTGATCATAGTTCAAGTCCCAGGCCTGGTGGCTTACTTTCTCACTTTTCCTTTATCTCTCTATCTCTCTGGTCAAATTTAAAAATAATGATAATAATAGTAATAAGTAGAATAAAATAAATAATTCTTAAAGAAGAAATAAACTTACAAAAATGCATAATGCATGCTAAATGAAGACCTTTTTCTTCTAATATTTAAATCTAGATTTATTTGAAAGATAAATTTATTTCATATGTGCCCAATTGTTAACTCTTACATTACCAAAAGGAAAATATAGTGAAGGTTATTTGCTCATCAGGAAAGCTTACTAGGTCACTGATAAATTTTCAACACATTTAAAAAGATATTTTTTATACAAGAATTGACTGTTTTTCTAACTGTAGCTAACATGGTACTTCAAATCTCAACTCATATGCATCTGCTTAGATTAATATAACCTCTAAACTTGTGCAATATCTGTCCAGTACTGTTCAAAAGTATCAAAGCCATGAAACACACATGCACACAGGCCCAGCGTGAGTTTTAAGCCGCCAGGTTCAGGAATCAAAATGTGGTTGACTACGAGGGAGTCCAGAGATGTAACCACTATGCCATCTACTGGTCTCTTGTTTTATATTTTCTTGAGTTTTTTTTTTTTTTTTAATTTATTGATTTCTTCCACAAGTGAGAATGACAAAGCTAAAGAGAGCATCCCCAACAGGGTCTCAATGCCACAATCCACCCAAAGCTTCAGCCAGCCCCAGACCATGGACACATAAATGCTTAGGTATTAAGGCAGGTCTCTGGATAAGAACTCAGAACCTTGCCATATAGGTCAATTTTGCACAGTGTTGTATTTTACCACTGTCTATATCCATTAATCTTTCTTTTTCATCATTCTTTGACATCAGAAAACCTACTGAGATAGAATTTGAAGAACAAGTATTGAATAACTATACTTTATTCAATAGTTATTGAATAAACTATTCAATAATAGTTTATTATTGAATAATGATGAAAAACATACCGAGGCTAATCATACCTTAAATACTTCAAGTATACAACTGCAACAACTCAGAAGAACAAGACGTGAACAGCATCACTGTTTCCTTCATGTGTTCTACAGACAACAGAACACTGTAGAAAGAAAAGGTTGGTAGCTACTTTTTAGGGCAGACTACATCCATGCTTTCAGGCCTCCTTGATATTCTTTTAAAATTGAACCCCAGAACTTGCTCAACAAAAGTAAGATATGTTTGGAGTTTAGAGGTAGATTTGGATCAGCATTTGCTCATGTTCAGAAAATAAATTTTAGCCATGTAGGACCAAGTAGGACTTCACTATATTTGATTCTAATTGTATTCAGCTAAGATTCAATTCTGTTTCATTTTCCACAGTATTTACTTGTTACCTAAATTTGACTCAGTTCCTTGAGGTATTACAACCTTCAGTGATCTTTTATCTCAAAAAGGCTACCTTTGACCATCTTAGCTTCAGCAAACGTCTTGAACTCTTTTGCAAATAATCTGTCTTCAACAAGTGCATACAGACCCAGCTCCAGTGGCACAGTGGTGACACAATGAAATATTGGAAGCTATATGGAAGATCAGGGTTCAGTTCCTGAGTCCACCTGTACCTGCCAGGCACACACGCATACACCAGTAATCCTGACTAACTTGGGAAGGCTGAGAATGGATAACAGCACGAGATCCTGTTGGAGATAATTGCCTTTCTCTCTCAAGAAATGAATAAACTAGGGCCAGCAGTTAGTATGGTGGTTAGGAGCTAGACTCCAACATGGCTGATCATAGTTCAAGTCCCAGGCCTGGTGGCTTACTTTCTCACTTTTCCTTTATCTCTCTATCTCTCTGGTCAAATTTAAAAATAATGATAATAATAGTAATAAGTAGAATAAAATAAATAATTCTTAAAGAAGAAATAAACTTACAAAAATGCATAATGCATGCTAAATGAAGACCTTTTTCTTCTAATATTTAAATCTAGATTTATTTGAAAGATAAATTTATTTCATATGTGCCCAATTGTTAACTCTTACATTACCAAAAGGAAAATATAGTGAAGGTTATTTGCTCATCAGGAAAGCTTACTAGGTCACTGATAAATTTTCAACACATTTAAAAAGATATTTTTTATACAAGAATTGACTGTTTTTCTAACTGTAGCTAACATGGTACTTCAAATCTCAACTCATATGCATCTGCTTAGATTAATATAACCTCTAAACTTGGAGACAAGAATCTATTTAACCCACAGTCTACTTCTTTCTTCCATATTGTCTAATCAACTTCTAAAATGTTTTGCAGAGATATAATGGAAATATCTACTATTTTGAGAGCAGCCTGATTGAGTAACATGCAGACTTGCAGTACCACGTCAGTATAAATTTTAAATGAAGAAATATCTGACTTCTCAACTACCACCTTCAGTTAGAATTTTGAGTCAAGCAATTTGGATTTCTGTCCTTTAAAAAATAATTTTAGGTGAATTTAGCATTTAGGAAATGTGAATGAAGAAACTGAAATAATCCAAACATATAAAGACACTAGAAACATGCCGAAAGAAACCTTTTCGATAGAGAACACACATGTATGTGGCACTTCACTTATGAGCCTCCTTAATTAATCTGCTATTTTTCCAAAACTAGGCTTTTCTACTTTCAAAACACTAGCAAAATAACAATTCAGCATGTTCTCAGAGTAGAAACAAGGATGGTGCTGATATTATATTTACAGCCGCTTCTTCCCCGCGTTCTTCTTTATCTCTTCCTCTGCTCTGGGTCTTTTATCAGTCAGTCAGCTAAGGTCAGACTCACCTCAATAGCTCAGCACACCAGTCTTGTTTCCATTACATTTGGAGGCAGAAAATCTGAATCTTTACAATGCTGACCTTATTGTTTTACAAGCTATTGATTATGGCTATCAACTTCCAACAGTTCACTGGGGTCACTCTCTGGAAAAAGAAAAGCAGAAAGAGAAGCCACATTCCTCTCCCTCTTCCAACTGCACTGACTTCTCCATTAGTTAGATTTTGGTGTAATTAGAATGAATCACTGCGAGACACGGCTCCTGTCTATTCTAGACCGCCACTCTTGATTCACCTAGATTTTTGGCCATACATCAGAGTACACATCTGGTATGTAATGAGGAATGCACAGGGTGGAAAGGGGAGGTCAGCGAGAAGTGAATGGGCCCTCCATAGGAATGATTATAGAGTTACTGACACGCAAATAAATGGCACGTATCACAATCCACAACTCTTAGGAAGAGTAAATCTCGCATTTGACATACCCTTTGGCAAGAGATAGACTTTATGAATCTTTTTCACATCACTAGAGCAGTTTTACACAAGGATACCCTGTCCTGACATAATTCTCCACCTCAAAATGCTTTCCTTCACCATCAGGAATATATTTTTTCACCGTAATTTTTTTTTTCAATATATTAGACCTTCAATACAATAATCATTAAACCACAGTACTTTTGCCTTCTATATTATTTCCTCCCCTTCACTGTCTTCTTTTAATCTTGTGATTCCTTTAGTAATACTATCATTTATTGAATGCTTACAATATTCTAGGCTATGTGCTACATGATTAACATAATTATCTCATTTAAACCTCAACACAACTGTGAGGCACTTATGCCATTGCTTCCACTTCGAAGAAGAGAAAGCTGAGACAAAATGAACTTAAATGATTTACTCATGGTCACACAAACATTAGATGGTAGAAACTAGACTGGAACTGGGGATATAGTTCTCTGTGCCTACAAAGTTAACTACTGTAAGAGATTGTCATCTATTCATTAAATAAGCAAATGAACAAACTAACACCCACTGCCCAACAACTCAGCACCTGTCTCTTTGCTTGGTGCCAATAATACAAAGATGCATCTTTCATTGAACCAGTTCTTAGGTATGTCATAGAATTACACCCTGTGCTTAGTTTCAATAAAAGAGTCTAGTTATAATAAAATTCTAAAATGTACTACTCACTATATGCCAGACACTGTCTGAAATACTTATTTTTTCTCATATAAACTTCACAACTCACCATGGTAGGTACTCTTGTTTATCCCCATTTTATAGATAAGAAAAGCAAAACTGGGGCCAGCAGGTGGTGTGGTGGTTAAGGCTCTGGACTCCCACATGGCCAACCTTGGTTCAGGTCCTGGACCTGGTGGCTTGCTTTTTCACTTTCTCTCTCTCTCTCTCACTATATCTCTCTCTAGTGAGTGCAAATTTAATAACAATAATAATAATAAATAAAATTAAATAATTCTTTTTAAAAAGTAAAAGAAATCCTAGGAAAATACAGTTGCTCAGTCAAGGACAGCAGCTAGGAAGGGATAGAGCTGAGATACAAAATAAAGCAGAAAGTACCACGAGGTGTGCAGATAGCAGCCTAGATTTCAGGGAGCAAAATGTATCCTTTGAGTTGAGAAAACTTAAAGAAAACTTTAGTAGTAGAAATGGCATTTGATCTAGATCTTATATTCTAAGAGAAGGACATAGGATGAGCTAAGACATAGTGGGTGGGAAAGCTCTGAGAACAGTGAATAGTTCAGAGGGAACCATGACTGAAGATAGCAGTGAAGAAAGGCCACACCGTGTGGATTTCCACACTCATGGTAGCCATGACTGGTGCTATTTCATGACATAACACGAGGTGGACTATAGAATTCAACGTGTAACTCACCTATGAAAAAGAGAAAAAAATATGCTTTAAAAAAACTGTTGGGCACATTTTCCATATTAGAATTCGAATGACATGGCTGTCCTGTGATCTCCAGCCATTGTCTTTATCCCTAGTGTGAACTCAGGACAGGTTTTCTTACTTAGTTTTTATTATGCACTGTACTTAGTAATGGTTCCAATAGGAAACAAATCCACAGTCCAAATTGGAAGACTTTTAAATAATTTTTTAGAACTATTTAATTTTTTTAAAATTTGCTATAGAGTACATGTGGTCACCAGAGAAAGACAGAGAGAGAGAGAGAAAGAGACAGAGAGAGAGAAAAAGTAAACTACCGGGACCCAGATTACAGTCAGCTATATGGGAGTCCAGTGCCTTAACTACCACACTACCTGCTGGCCCCCCAAATGAGATGATTTGAAGAGGGTTGTTTTCATGGAAACTATTGTAATGTTGTGGGTATAGCATGGCCACTAAGGAGAGTGCTAGAGTCTGGGATGAACAATAATGGAGTCTTTCCTCCCCATTTGGTATAAAACCTTGAAGAGGAGAGGGAGAAAAAGAACCCAAAATGTGAGAGTCATGAGAGAAGGTGACCTTAATGGCAGCAGTGACCTTCAGTGAGGGGAAATGACCAGTTTGAAGATACCTTGAAAGGAGAAAGGGGAATAAGAAAATGCCTATTCTCCCACTCCTCACATGTTGGGGGTGGGGAGTGGGAGGTGGATTTCCCACTGACCTAAGCTAACGGGGAGTCAGAAGGCATGAACACTGTAGGTGCTGTCCATGTGGGTCAGCACATGGAGCAGGGCAACAGACACCAGGAGGGGCCATGGGAAGGTATTAGTACATGTACAAAGGATTTCACAAGTTCATGAGAAATGGAATTAAAGCACCCATATATTTCGGTGCAAAAAAAAAATCCATGTGTAAATTTTTCCATAATACATATTTTCATTAACTGTTTGAAGACCCTATCATACACAAAAATGTGCTGTTCATATATACACATTGACAATTTTCCAATAATTAATGGTTGGAGTAATCATTAACATATGCCCTGATTTGATTTATATTAAGTCTTTTAGACTTTTTTCATAGGAATACTTGAGCTCAATAAATACCTTACTACATTTTACTTTTTTTTTTCTGCTAGACAGTGTGCTCACCAGAGAGAGAGAGAAAAAAACAGAGAAAAAGAGGGAGAGGAGAAAGCCCCTACCACCCCACACACACACATACACCCTGCCCTGGGGAATGGTCATGCCACAATTCCTTCTCCATCTCTCTCTCTCCTTTCGGGATTTAGGGTGCATGCACACACACATATACACAGAGTGTTTTTCAAGCCACTAGATCCAGGACTCAAACTGCTTGGTTGAGATCCAACCACCTTAACCATCAGGCCATGGAGTTAACCGACTTCTACACTCTCAAAGTAAATGTATATCCCAGGTACTAGGATACTGAAGTAATTATACTGTAACTCCTGATTCAAAGGAAATGCCAAAAAATTTATTTGATATTTATTTTAATGATTGAAATGTTTTTGAAGTAGATACAGAACTTAACACAAAACTTCCACTTAGGTCAGTGCTTTATAAACTTTGTTGTGCATCGAAATCATCCAGGGAGCTTTGAACAATACTTGGGCCCGAGACCCTCCCCAGGATTCTGCTCTGTCTGTTCTGAATTCCAGTCTAAGCAGCAGAAGCTCTAGACACTCTCTAGCAGTGTCTAAGATGCAATTATGACTGAGAGTCACAGGTCAGCCTGCAGCCTGGTGGTTAAGAAGGCTGGATCCCACAAGGCTGACTGCACAATTAGTCCTAGATTCAGCAGCTTGAAAACCACGCAGAGCACGTGTGTATGTGTGCCCAAAATCCCAAAAGGAGGGAGGAACAGAGAAGAGATTAAAGTGAGACCAGGCCTTATGGAGAATGTTTTCTTGCTTTAACTCTCTTCCTCTTTTTTTCTCTCCTGGGAGTGCATGTGCCTTCTGGCAAAATTTTAAAAAAAAAGAAAAGTTATTTTATACTCTGTCTCTTCAAAGACTCAGCCACAAGCAGATCTCACAGAAAGTTTTATTGTCTACACTAGCATTTTCCCTGCACAGTACAGGGTGTTTCTGTGTAGAATATCCTTCCCCTCTAGACAAAGGTCCCATATGAGAAAAAGTAGCATGACATACGGAGTGGGAAGCTGTCCCTGAGGTCAAACAATCTGAGGTTGAATCTGACTATTGCTTCATAGCTGCACGTTTTTATAAAGTCACTTTTCTGCTTCCATAAAGCTGAAATAATAATGCCCACCTCAAACGGTTACTAAAAGGATTGCCTGAGGTGTTATGAATGAAAGTACTTAGAACAGTGCATAGTTCGGTGTAGTAAGCCCTATGTGTGGGATGTTGGTATCAACCATGCAACGTGGGGTAAGCTGTGTGCAAGGCAAGACTTTTCCTCTAACAGTACTTTTCTTTCAATGATCCATCAGTTTACCAAGGGTTTATCAATAGTTAACATGCAAAGGTCAGTCGTAAAGCTAATTCTTGGCTTTAGCAAGCATATGAAAAAAATCAATAATTACACAATTAAAAAGGAAAGGAATTAGAGTTTTCATATTTACATTGCCATCTCTCTTAGGAGCCTTCTTGATAAATACTCATTGATACTACAATCAATAAAGGTAAGGATTTGAAGATCACACCTCCTAAGAAATAGGTAGCAAATGGGGAGAAAGTTCATTTAAGTTCTCTGGGCTATAAAAGAATAAAGTTCATCTCTAATCAAATATTCAGCTCAATGAGTGTGATTCAAATGTTGCCTTGATTATAAGTAGTTGAAGGTTTTCTCTGTGACAAGGGACACGTTCTTTCCCCATCTGCATTCATGTGGTTTATATTGTTCTTACCTAATGAGATATAGAATATCTCCTAAACATTGACACATTAGAGCCATGCTTCACTCAGCATGAAGGTTTGAGACATCAAGGATACCTTGAGCATCCTCAGATTCCAACAACTTGTCAGACAAATTAGCACCTTCTCAACCAAGGATAAAATTGAGTTTCACATTTCTCCCTGGTGGGGGAGAAAGAAGGAAGGAGAAAATCACTCTGCTTTAATACTTTCTTTGTTACGACAAATACTGAGAGCCTTATCATCTCTGTAGGACTCTCCCTGACCTCT